TACTAGATGTATTCGGTACCCTTTTAACCAGAATACTCTGTCTTCAATTGTTGGCCAGCAGCCCATGATGTGAGACTGTAACACCATGGATCAAAACCAGAAGTAGAGAGTAATTCATAGACTGAATCAATGGACCATAATTAAAATATCACATATAAAACCAATTCTGAAATACTGCTTAAAGGCTATCATTACAATTGCTTACAACTTCGTTCTAAATTCAAATGCTCACTAAATAAGCCCATAAGCCTGACACAAAAAGTGAGTAGAGCCTTCTCCGTCTCTCCCACCAGTGAAAAAAGCTTTGTTCGATGCATTTGCAGAACAAAGGGATGCACCATGCACTTTTCCACTAATAATACCAAGAAGCTTAAAGAAGTAGTTTCTAAATATACAGGACTGATCATATCCTCCTTTGGTTAAAAATACAAAATCTAGCATGACTGGATACATGACAAATATATATTAAGCTCGTATTGACAAACAGTATATAAAAGCAAGTAAGTCATGATAAGCTACAGGATTTTTTTTTTCCAGCAGAAAAGAAAAAATGAGGGAAAAAATAGAGGAAAAACTAGGAAATTAAATCCAGATATTTAGGCCATACATTTCATTTCCTTCTTGCATGAGTGAAAAGGTTCTAAGTTAAAAAGAAAATGTCCTACATTAAAACTACTACTTTTTCGCTATTCAAAATACCTGTTTTTTGCAGTTGATAGCACATTGTTGTCATTATTTCAATACAAAGAAAAATAATATTCTTTCTCCCAGGAAAATCAGTGTGCTTAGTTTCACGAACAAAAATAGGACACTGAACTGCAGCAGCTCTAACAACCGTGAACCCAGTTCTGCAGCACTTCACTTAGGCAAGACTTCTTACTGAGCCTGGTGCTTGTGCAAGGGCTACAGAAGGAGAAGCAGGATTCCCTCACCGTATGACCCAGAACATCAGGAGGGATGGGGGAGGAAAAGCACCCTAACGTTAAGACAATTTGCAATTTGTATACGCATGAGTTTAGCTTTTTGGTTTTACATCTTGTATTTTTAGCAATATTCTCCAATTCAGTTCTCATATTTTGTCAGTATTCTCTGCTTAAGTTCAAAGAAATTTTGTGTCATATAAACTCAGCGTTAGCAGCCCTTCCACGCCACAAAGGAAGTGCCAGCTTTCAGTATACAAAAATTATTACTATTTATTATTATTTCTTAGCTGTAGGAAGGAAACAGAGTGAGTGGCAGCCAAAGCTGCGTGTTTACCCCTTCTGATGTAGGTGAGAGCAGCAGCCGCAGGGCTGGCTCTCTGTGGGCCTTTGGAGGTTGAGGAAGGGTTTGTCACGTCACTCTGTCCCCGCTTCCCACTCCCCAGACTGTTCACAGAGCCCTAAAGTTGGGAACTGAGTGGGAATAGAGAGGTGAATGGGTGAAGCTGGAAACAACCCTTCATGGCTGTTCCTCGAGATCTGGGCAGGGTCCCTGCACAGAAGTGTCTGTTTCCACCTTGGTAGTGCAGATCTGTTTTTTGAAAGCATCTGAGCGAGTTGCATCTGAGCATCTGTGGTCTGCAGACAACTGCTGAGTTCAGCGTCCCTTAGCGCCGCAGCGCAGCAGCAATCAGCATGGCACCAGCACGCTGCGCAGTGGTTTGGGGCAGGAAGTGAAGAATACCACCAAATTCAACTAAATTAACAGTGTGTTTGGGGAGGTGGCATCCAATTACCAGGACTTTGTCCAGAACATCTGTCTAGACGTCTTTGCTCTTGCAAAAACGTTATGGGATCTTTGATGTCAAGAAGTGGTCAGGATCTTGGTTTTTCATCTTATTTGAAGGACAACAGAAGCAAGAGTGATGAGACTGCTGGCTGCTGCCCCAGGAAGGGGTCATCAGCAGCTCTGGAGACAGGGTGCTGTCTCCTGCAGAGCCACACCGAAATGCCCACGGCAGGCGTCACGCCAAGTGGGTGCATGACAGCCCTTTGTTCTGGGGGAGCGAGGGGGCTGGATGCAGGACCCGAGCCCATCACATCCTGCAATGCAGATCAACCACAGCCAGGGTGCAGCTGCCTCGACCTTAACTTTGCAAGTCAAAATTGTACTGAATGAAAGATTTCATCTCTAATATTGGTGGGTGTACAAAACAAAACAAGGATATGAGCTAGATTTGGCTTTGGTGTTGCAGGGAAAAAACCCCAAGTAATAAAACAGAGAGAAGGAGCTAGCAGTGGATAAGTTGCCATCAGAAGTTGGTGACTGCCCTCTCTGATTACAGCGCTGTGGCCTCAGAGAGCTGTGCCTGTCGTTTCCTAGCCAAGTCTGCAAGCATGTGGGCAGGGGAGGGGAGAGGAGATGACACTCATAGTACAGCGTATTTCTTTCATTTCACTCATTACATCAATTAGACAAAGTCAAAATCTGTGTTTCATCCACAGAGATTTCTGGGCTCGAACATTTTCACCTGGTCGTCATTTTTTTACCAGGGGTTCATCTCTGGTGTAGCACCTTTTAAAACATGCTTGTTCTGGACTATAATAGACTCATACAGTAGAAACAGTAGCTTAAAATGCTAATGGTATCGAAATACATCATTTGGATGTTAATGTGCCAAAACACTCAGATATGAGACAGCGGGAAGTACAAATGCAGCTGACTAATATTTAATTTTCCTCCTCTTGCCCCTGTTTGTATGGTCCTCCCCATCCACTGCCCTGAAGCTCGCTGCTGGTTTTATAGCAGTGTCAGCAGTTCTCAGCAACAGCTCTTGCACACGCTCCTATTTACCCCCAGTTTAAATTCTAATTCTTTTGTCAAACGTCTTCCATCTTTCCACCCAAGGCTTCTTTATCTCTTTACACAGTCTTACTTTATGCCACTTTCAAGCTCCATCCTGGTTGTACCTGGAGAAGTGGCGTTACCTCAGTCTGATGGGGATTCCTTGGTCCAGCATTTGAGATCCGACAGCAGCAGCCTATCACTCCCTCTGTGCATCAGTGCTAGGAAGGGACACAGAAAATCTGTTTCCCAGCTGCCCGTTTTTACCTGGGAAGGGCAAGACCAACTCACTGTCACATCCCACGGGCAGTGTCCTGCGGCCATCTCGCTCTTCCTACAGTTTTCACCACTCTCCCCCAGTACTCCAGATCATCCCTGCCCAGTCCTCCCTTTTCTGGAGTCCCGTCTCATTGTCCTAGTCTCTCATCAGCTAACTTGTTAGAGCTTCCCTATTCTGGCTGCTTCCGGAAGTCTTGGTCTCCTTGCCTGGAGACCCAACATTGGCCGGAGGTTTCACCCTTCCGAGTCCTAGCGATGCCCTTTCCTGCACTGCTACCAGGTGCATCCTGTAGAGTTTTGGTTCTGGCTTTTGTTCCACCTGTATTTCATTCATGGGGGTGTCCTACTGCTACTGACTCCAATGGGATGTAAAGGAGAGAAAGGCTCATTTCTGACTTGCCCACAACCTCACAGGGCACGGCCCTTGTTAGTTTCCAGGGTTGCATCCAGTCAAGCTGTAATTTGCAAGAAACCACTAAAATAACAGAAATCTCTGCTGAGATTTGGACATATTTGTGAAAAGACATTTTTCAAGGGTTTAGACCTTGGCCAGCTGTTCACGTTGTTTCACAGACAGATCAAAAGTACCATTTGGATAGAAAGACTACTCACATAAAATTTCTGACCTTTGCTTGAGAGCAGAATGACACCAAACCACATTGACAGAAAGGTTTGAAGAATCTACAAACCATTCATGCAACAACATATTTTCGCCCAACCTTGTTCTGGCTGAAAGCACTAATGTTGGTGAAACCAAGTAGAAGAGTATTTCTGGTAAAAAAATTCATATCTGTTTTCCCTCACCTCCTTTTATCCTGACCAGGTACACAACTAATGAAATACACTCAGAGATGTACATGCTGCTGGTCTTCTGTTATCATACTCAATCAATAGGAACAATTTAGAGCAGCGGTAACCTCTCCATGCATACTTCCGTAGTCTCAAGGGATCAATATAATCAGTATCGCAGCTGGCTGGTGAGGAATAATGAGATTATGATAACAAAAAGGCAAGCTTTCCAAATTTTTTCTTAGTGTATGCCAAAACATCATACTTTTCTATCTGTCCATAAAGGACAAAATAGCAATATTTAAGAATACTGAATCTATTTCTAAAAAAGAAGTATATTAAAAAGTAGGTTTTTACCTATGATTTCTTAAACCTTAACTTGCTTGGCGAATGCAGTATTTCTTTCCTTTAAAAGTAACCATGAGATTTGACTTTTTCATTCTTGGAAAGGAGCCATACCTGTTTAAAACTGTACCAAATTTTCCACAGATTTCTGCTGAACAGGACTGCCATTTGCAAAAACCTTGGTTTTGTATGATAGTAATACTTGTCTATTCACAGCTAAAATTCACCTCAGAGATGTCGCTGATTAAAATCATGAATGTTTATTAAAAAAAGCCAAATTATTATAATAGTCTTAGCGGTTATATAACATGTTTACTGAAACTGGGAAAGCAGAACCGAAGTTCCTGTCCTCCTTCCTGATACTCCCCTGGGATCCCCTTGAGTGTCAGCATTCACTCTGCACCCTCACTGAGTCTATTCCCAGCGAGTGCCGTTGCCCGTCCGTTTTCAACAGCTTGAGGCAAAGACTGCCTTTATGGCTGCAATAAAGTATTTTAACAGGTTATCTGGGTCCAGTCCTTAAAAGTAGCTACACATCTCTCAGCACACAATCATGTCAGGTCTATTTTAAGAGCAGCCATAAAAGACAGGATCAGCTGAATCCAAACGATGAGCTATGGAGCACTGTCGGCACGCGGACTGCACTGTCACTGTTTATATACTGATGGAAGGGATGTGGGAAGTCTAAACATTTATGAAAGGAATGAAGATCATTATCATTTCTATAATATGTATGGGAACACTCACATTTTACTTACAGTGCTAGTAACAATTATGTTTTAGCTATCTAGTTAAATAAATGGATTATACATGAATCTTACCTGGGAGGAAATGAGATGTCCAGTTCATACAATCTGTCTTTAAAGACTGACAGCTCTCTGTCAAATTCTAAAAGCTATAAAAGACAGAAATAAATGTATTCACTCTTTAATGCTGAACTGAAACAATCTAAAAATACTACATTATATAAAAGGAAATAAACAGAGACTTTGATTACACAGCTTGAGTCATATCCCTCATATAATAGTTTTAAAACATAGTGCAAACCACTCAGTACTAGTTTGATATATGAACAGTTCATTGAGAAAGTGTTCAAAATGTTCCTTTTCATCTCAGTGAAACACGTAACACTGGCTCTTTATAGCAGTGACCTGTATGTACACTTACTATTGCAAGATGGCAAATTTTTTTTTGAAATTTATTAGCAATCTTTTCAAAGATAAACTAGACTAGCATTAAAAAAGTACAGCAACCTGATACGCTAATCAGCCCACAAAACTGCCAGCAAAAGTATCACATTACTTTATATTATCTTTATCTCAGATAAGAAGGTACAATAAACACAAGGATGTGCACACCATTCTTCCTAAGCAAAGACAAGCAGTGCTTTTGTACCCCTGCTTTGGGTGATGCATGTCAGATATCAGAAAGAGTGATAAGTGACAATAGGCAAAATGTGTTCCCAGGCAGCAGCCAAGATACAGTGCTAGAAGGAGATATTTAACAGAGATGTTCGTAAGTCTAGATTTAATGTCCTGTATAAATATTAGTTCTTGCTAAATTTGTTTTCCCCATGGCCTCTACAGAGAAAATAAATATCTGCAGTTTTTTGTTCATCAACACAAACCTGCTCATAACAAGTCAACGATTATCGTCCACATTAAACCAATAATTGTTCTGATGGACATAAACGACCATATTTCAGAACCATGGCTGGTGTTCAGCCTGACATCCGAGTGAATTAGCGAGTTAAAAGACAAAAAGCTCATAATCTGCGCGGTTACTGGCTGTCGCTCTAAGTGCCACTTTCTATTTTGACAAGTGTGTCATCCCAGCAGTATCCCATAGGATGGTGGCGTGTTTGCCCACTGTTCATTAATCATGTTCCATCTCACAGCTGTGCTGATACCATTGTATAAGTGGCAGAGGTTCCCAAAGAAATTAGATTGTGTCCCTCTTTCCCCTCTGCCACCTCATAAATCATTCCTGAAATGTGCAATTAGCAGCTACTTGTACACATTAATTATCTGTGTGAAAAGCAGCTACCTGAACCACCTGCACTGCTGATTAGCTACCTCTCTAAGGCCCACCTGGCTCTCTTGCCTTTCTAGCTGCCCTGTTGTTATATCTACACACTTTTACATGAGGATGCCAAATAAAAGGCAGCTTCCCCTGGTTTTGTGCATCTGACACCAAACTCTGTGATGGAACGCTGGAAAAGATTTTGCAATACAAATAACTGCATATAATTTGTACATGTTTTAACAGCTGATCAAAAGCCAGAATATCCAAGACGTTTGGATAAATATTTATAAATATCTGTGTGGAAACTTACAGTATGTACCTAATAGTATGCTCAATCCTAAAAATGTTGGCATGGTTCAGCCACTGTTCTTACTGAAGCAATGTGAACATGGAAAAAATGGATTAGGAAACATGGAATCTGAACATGGAACAGGAAAAAATGGTTTACCATGCACATTTCCAGACTGTGATCCTCTATTTAAGTATGCACAGATAGATGTGTAGCCACAATACATACATACAAACTGGCTGTGAAAACAAATGTTACCAGCCCTTTCCTGCTCCACATGTCTCGACCTTAAAGACAGTATCTGCCCAATGTGAAACATGCAGAGGAAAAAATCCTACCATCCATAGGTAAAACTCTTCTTTGAACCATAGGTCTATTAATACAGTGCAAATGCATTTTTCCTGCTGTTGCCAAGTAATCAGATCAGAGCAGGAAAGTGGAAGCACCAGGAGAAAGAGGGCTATTTCTGAAGTGTGAAAACTGCAAGGACTGAATCAAAGAACAATGCTGCATAGAACACAATGGTATAAATTACTCATGGGCATTCCAAGGGCTGGCAACCTTAAATAGATGCATTGTCCTCTCACACCAATTCACACTTTCCAAATTTTATACATTCAGATTGTTCTTGCTATGAAGATATCTGCAAACTAAACGTAGGCTGGGGTTTTGTGGACTATACAGTCAGATCTGCACTACTACCCAAAGAAGCTTGCGATGTGTTTATTTGTGCAGTTGCTCGTTTAGTGGTGTCTGTGCTACGCAGATGAGCTGCTGACACTGGTGACAGAGAGGACAGATCATAGGAACAAGACTGTATTGTGTGCTGTGCTCTCTATTAGTTCCCCAAGTTTCCCCAGGTAGAGGGACGTCTTTAACCTGAAATGACAAAGCCAAATCCCCATGATGAACCAGCTGGATGTCAGAGCCCAACGAGGTGCCTAGAAGAAATATTTAGGGAGGGCTCATTGTAGACAGTTCATCCTCACACGTAAAACAGTTAAATATTTCCACTGGATTATTGGCACAAACTTTTATTTTGTGTTACGTTTTAAATAATTATTTAATTTTTAAAAAATTACTTATTTTTTCCTAGATATTAAGTGACTATGTTACAGTACTATACCCTTCTGTTCAAAGGCGTCCACAAACTGTGCAAACAGACATCTGCTCATTCTTACAAAGGGCAATAACAAGTTATTCATGTGTCCAGGACTGCCTAGTGTGAACCCACCTAACCGCTTTTCTTTACCTGGTAGCACTGCAGACAGTGGGCGAGATAAGGGGGGGAAAATGAGGAAAACTTTAACCGTGTGTTTTGAAAAAACTCCATATTTTTTTTAGTTGAAGAGCATGTTTTCATTATTACTTTTTCAGTACTAAAAGCATCTGGGTTTTCATCTAAGCCTGTAATCTCAAAATGCAAGATTACTGGTGAAAAAACAAGGCGTTCACTAGGTCTTGTCACAAACAGTTATAAACATCACTTTCCCTCAACTCAACTTAGTAAGAGAGGGAATGGGACCCGACATGGGCATCATTCAATTGTATTCGCTTTATGACAGGTACATGGCTGGCTGGGGCTCCCTGGCCTTACAGAAAATGAATGAAAATTAATATAGGCCGGATGATACTGAGGAGCAGTCAAGAAACTCACAGGGTAATGTATTTACTTTTAAAGCATATAACATTGTATCTAAAAAAACCCATCCAGACAATACTCTATTAATGGCAATTTTCAGCACAAATTGCTCACCTATTTCCATATTGTACACTAAACAGCATTGTGAATAATGTCATTGCTGTAACAGTAAACATGAGTATGTCTGCCACTCTAAATGCCTTAAAAATGACAAAGAAATTAAGTTCAAAGCCTAAAAATCAATACATTGTTCTATTTAATTTACTCATTATAAGATCATCCTTAACAACCAAATCTTTAAGGTGTTACCTGACTTGCTGAGGTAATTTGAGCAATTACACAGAGGTATTAAAATGCTGTGGAAGTTAATTCCAGAACTATATGTCATAGGCAGTTCAGAAGACCATTTTTTTTTTTTTTCACCAATGCATTTATACCTAAATGATAGAAAGGATGATGCAGGGCTTAGGTCTTATCTGCTGTAATCACTGAGTTGCTGATATTCTGTCAAGATATTTGCTCGACAATGTCCAGTGACCAGCCCAACATGAATGTCTGATTAAAGTCTTCCAAATGAAAATAGCATCCATACATACGAGTAATATATCTGTGGTCAGCTCATACCCCATGAGACACAGCGATAAGGTGCCTCGGGGAATAGAGCTGTGCAGCATGTGTAAGAAGACACACAGCACACATCCACTGCCCTGCGACTGTAAGAAAAAACTCACAGGGCAGAACATGATTTTTAAAAACAGGTTAAATTCATTGATAGGATTTTACAGTCTGAAGTTATGTATTTCCATTTAGCAAACTTCATGAACCAAATGCTTCAATTAGTTTCTACACTCAAGCTCCTATTGACCTGAATGGGAATTGGCTTGATATCAATGAATTTCTCTGCACAGAATTAAATAATGACTGCATTTGCAGTAAATCATATTCCCTATTTAATTTGAATAGAATTAAAAGCATTTAGGGCTGTTGCCTGTATCAGCTGCAGTGCCCATCACCAAATTACCAAAACTGCTGTTTTCCCAGGCAACCGTGTCACCTGTAAAGGCTGCTGCAGTTTTGGTTTTCTCCGCTTTTTTTTGTCAGCACTACAATGTACAAGTGCTTTTATGTACAAGGGTGAAGGAGAAGGGAATGCATGATACCAGGGCACGAGGTCCTGTGCAGGGACTGTCTTCAGAACCCGTACGCCACTCAGTAAGAAAAAACTGAGCAGGGCTGGACGGATGCTCTGGGGATGGGGACTCCAGCGAGGTCCCTCGCTCCAGGGCTGGAGTATGGGCTGCAGTTCCCTGTAGCTCATGGGGCCATATCTGGTTAAGCAGCATGTGCTTTGGCCAAAGATAACAATTATCTGGAATACTAAATTTTGATATTATGTAGCTTGACAGCAATCAAAGGATTATAACAGGTTAGCCTGCTGTAGAAATCAAGGTAATTTTGCTTGCTTGAGTTTAAAGCAATGAGGCACTCTTAAAAGGTCAATGTCCACTGATATGCTGCAATGGCCCACCCTGGTTAAAATCACACACGTATGAACCCTTTAAAACAGGGCAACTTAATTCAGCCATTGGAGTAGAACAACGGCAATTACTCATAAGACCTACAGACCAAAGTCAGAGCACTGGTAGATCAGAAGGTGATATTAGCAGCATTTATCAAATCCATCTGCAGGACCCATCAGAGAATTCACAGCTGCGAAAGGGAAATGAAGTTTCAGACCAAAAAGAGGAGATAAGCATACAGAAATGACCTTAGAGAATTAAAATATGTGGACACTGGTTACTGTAACCTCCTTTGCCAGCCTTGTATAGCACACAGTTTTTTTCAAGAGGCTTTGGACATACAGTAATTTTATCCAGCTTTCCAGTCAAAGAAAAATATTTAGAAACTGACTCAGCAGGCTACTGACTTCAAATAAAGG